GGCAGGCTCTTAAAACAATTCGATAAACCCAACTCGCTAGAATTTCCTTTTGTACCACCCATGATTACCGTCACTTCCAACATGAGTGAACTGGAATCGGACACCGAACCATTATCTCCGGCCACGAAAACGTGCAACCCGGGTGGCCTAATGCCACCGAACCCGGTTGGTATGTGCTACCTGAGCCCCTTCACAATGTGCAGCCGTGCCGACCGCACCATCTCCGAAAGCAATCTCAGCTCTTCCGGCTACTCGAGCATGGCAAGCCCTGGGCCAAGCCGCTGCGGCTCAAGCAATCCTTTGTATCCCGGCGAAATGGATGAGCCAGGCAGCGGCCATTCCAGTGGTGGGCTCTCTCTGCATGTAAATCTTTTGAACCGACGCAAGAACTCCGCCCTCGCCAGCTGCAAGGAGAATATAACCAATGGCAAGGGAACGGACGCCGAAAGCGGCGCGACCGGCAGCAGCACCGATCAACTGCACAGACCACGTTCCGACTCTGAGACATTCTCTGATGAAATCATTTTGGAGTCCAACGATGAAGGTATCGGTACTGACCATGTCGATGAAAAATTGGATGATAGCCGTTTGAGCAGCAATCGCTTCAAAACATTAGGTGCCTACATGGCAGAGCACGTCTTAATCGAAGTGGACGAGCCGCAGCAGCAGCCGACAAGCACGAGTGCCGCTAGCTGCACCACCAGCGCGGGCAATCAAATGGCACAACTGCAACTGCCTTCCATTGTGATACAAATCGACGGCAATGAAAAGGGTCTCTCACCAGTGTCGTCACGTTCGGAAAGTCCGCTGAGCGAACGCGCTAGCATGGGCCGCTTTTCACCGCACTTCTACGGGCGTAAAGATCAACTGCCTTTCACTGACTCAGATGGACTCTATGACTTTCCATCGTCGGATGGGAAAGGCGGCTCCTTTACCCATCAGCGTCGCAGCAGCAGTAAAAAGCGTGAACGTAAGTCATCCAAATGCTCCGCAACGCAGTCACCCACAAAGCAGCAGCTCGACTTACCGAGCAAGGAGTCGCTAACCACTTCGACAACAACACCGAGCAGCAGCGGGCATGTGTGCAGTAAGCATTGTCTTTCGCATCACCACACTTGTCCGGCATCGGCAACTACCACACGCAAGAGTCCAAAGCGACGACTCAATAGTAGACCACCGGTGGCGAGTAGCTCTTCCTCATCGGAAAGTCTGGTGTCTCCGAAGGAGTTGACTGCCTCAAGGCCACTGCCGCGGCGTAAGTAGAGAATTTTTTCCAAAACTAGAGCGGGAATGGCATGATTTTTTTCGAATTTCAGGTCTGAACTCGCCAAATAGAGAGAAACGTCCCCGAAAGCAGGAGAGTCTGAGCGAAGAAGAAGTAGCTGATGTAAGTAGATTTTAAGACATGCTTATTGCTATGTCATAAATATTTTGTTCCATTACTTATACAGGCCTTGCTGCGGAGAATTTCACCCAGCATTGTAAAAGAAGATACCGAAACAGTTAAGCCGAAATGTAAAATAAATCGTTTGCGTGCAATTGGAAATCAAATAAGGTATGTAGTAGCAGTAAGTAAACAAATTAGCATTATAATTTTAAAAGAAAATATGCGCAGTGGTTAGCAGTCCGCATATTTTCTGAAAATATTGAGGTAATTTGGTCAGCCATGAGGTCTCTTCCAATCTGACGAAGCGCAATGACAGGGTGGAAATTTATATTATGTGATGGCACCTCTTACGACCCGAAAGAAATATGGGAGCTCTCTTAGCCGGTATTTAACACTGCATCCTTCTGTGGGTCAAGTGACCCGAAGACTGCACGACCTCCTAAAACCCAGAGCTCATTTAACCAACAACTTAGTTCAAGTCTTCATCGAGAAGGTAAAAGCCTCCAAAGCCAAAGCCCTCGATGGACTATACTTTTTGATACTAAAGCACTTAGGTCCGGTGGGAGTGTAATACTTCACTAAGGTGCTAAATTTTTCGTTGCCCACTGTCGTCATTGTGGTATGTGGAAAGCATGGAGAATGGTCCCAATACTAAATACCGGGAAACCAGCCAACAAAGGTGGGTGACGAAAACACTTGATATCTTTCTACTTCCATACTTAACCTCCAATCTGACCCCACTACGCTTCAACATGGTTTCTATAGACAACGAAACCGCCCCTTTGAGATAAATGTCTTAGGATTGCTGGCCGCATTCCACATTGAGGAATCCTCTGTTCAACAGGGACTTAAACGGTGGAATGCGAATTATTTGAGTGGTCTACAGAAAAAAATAAGAAGCATCCCACAGGATGGTGCCCTCTCCCCCACTTTTATTTAACTTCTACATCTCGGAGCTTTTTCAGCCATCAGAGGGAGTTTTATTGCTCTCTTGCGGTAGCGTCGGGAAATAAAGTTGATGGCCTGTGTTTAAAAATAAACATTTTCTAGCTTTTTCACTGAGACAGCCTAACCCTCTTCCCTCCAAAAACAATGATGACCGCTTTTACTACCTGCAGAGCACATTAAGCTAAAACTAGGCCTCCATGACGACGCTCAAAATCAACGACTCTTTTTCTCCGCGCACACAATCTTCTTCTTGTTTGGCGCTGTAACACAACCGCCATTGGCAATAAAATACAGAGCCACTCGCCAGAAGAACACGGATGCCTCTTGACGTTGCTTGAACACCAGATCAAAGACTGGATACTCCGGAGCTCTGGCGGGTCTCTATTCACAGATTACTCCATCTCCAATATGTCTTTTCTCTACCTGAATTTCTTCAGGGAATGATTGGGAGTGACTGGCTAACTGGAGGAAGTGAGCAGTGAACCTTTTCATAGGTGGGTCGAAACTTATAGATAGATTTGGTGGAGGAATCTACTTCCGGGAGCTCTCCACCAAAACTACGTGAAGACTTTCAAACCGCTGCCGTGTTTTTCAGGCAAAAGTAGCTGCCATTAGGGAAGCTGAAGAGCGTGACGTCAGTTTGAGAGATAAGTATATATGTATTCTTCTTCTTCATTGCCGCTGTAACCGCCTAGGCGATTTTGGCCGAGTCCAAAACAGCACGCTAATCATTTCTCTTCCGTACCAACTGACGCCAATTGGAAATGCCAAGTGAAGCCAAGTCCTTCTCCTCTTGGTCTTTCCATTGCAGTGAGGGCCTCACTCTTCCTCTGTAATCCCCAGCGGGTTCCGAGTTGAATACTTTCAGAGTTTGAGCGTCGGTGTCCATTCGAACGACATGGCCAAGCCAGCGGAGCCGCTGAATTTTAATTCGCTGCACTATGTCTATATCGTTGTAAAGCTCGTACAGCTCATCGTTTAATCGTATGCGGAATTCCCCAGCGCCAACGGGTAAAGGTCCGTAAATCTTTCGCAGAATCTTTCTCTCGAAAAACTCCAAGAGCCGCTTCATTAGATGAGCATATATGTATGTAATCTAAAAACCAAGCAGCTATCAGCACCCTGAGCACAATAGCGGCATACCCAAAACTTTCGAGGGATTGTCTGATCTCTCTCTCAATAGCTTCGCAGTACATTTTTATTAAGCTTATTTGGGTGCCAAGCTAGACCGAAATTGCAGGAAACTTAATGGCTGAAGACGTAGCAAGAAAAGATACCTCTGAAGCGAGGTGGTCAAAGGAGCTCCTTGTCTTTGAAAAGTCGCAGCTCTCGCCGCTGTTGGGGGTTCCAACAATTCTTTATCCATTCAGGCAGTAAGGTTAGGAATCTTAGCTTATCCCTACTGTCACATCTGTCAGGAGAATTATTAGGTAGAGTCTGTTGAGGACTATATCATAAATTTCCAATGCGTCCCCTGCCAGCGCAATCTAACCTTACTTAACGTCCTACTTATTTTTATTTATTATCTTCAATTCCATCAGATTTTTGCGACGCCTCAAAAAATCCATAAAAACTCGTGAGCGTTTAGCTTCACCATCGGATAGCTGCCCGGAAGAGAATACCGACGACATGGACTCACCGCAGGCTACATCACCGCTACTGCAACCGCAATCGCCCAGCAAGACACGCATAGCGTTGTGTCGACAAAAGCGACTGCCGAGCGGTACGTATGGCATTACAGCAGCTGCATTGAATTCCAGCAATTGGAAGGGTATGGATCGTAGCCTCATCGGTGAGGACTTAAATAGCGATTAGACTAACAAGGACCCAGAAGTACAAGTAAGACATGCTTACGTACGTACATATACATATACTACATACTTGCACGGAACAAAATAAAAAGCGAAAGGCTGAAATGTACGAATATTACGTAATATGGAAATGTTAAAAGCATTACATGCATCTGTATAGGTTGTAGGTGTAAGTAAATACATACTTAGTATTCATTAATAATTAGTTAGTTAAGAGTTGAACATGGAATTGATTTTTCGTGAATGTAAGCCAGTGGTAGGTAAATAAATAGGTAGACATATTTACATACAAACACTTGTGCACATACATAAACAATATACATACATGTACGTTCATTATAGGGTAAGTAAATAGCATAATTCTTAAAACTCACGCTTAAAAAAAGAACACGAAAATTATTGATTCCCTTCGAACATATGTATGTAAAATGTTTCCATAGGGCGAGCAAGTACATACATGTCAAGACCTAAATACATATACATTTGAAAGTATGTACATATTTATTCCCAAGCAATAGAATTATTCTAAATTCCCTACCATCGCCGACATTTAAGAACAGCATATAAAACTTTGCTGAAAATAAATAAGTAAAATATAAAAAGAAAGTATTTTTCATAAAAGTATATTTCAGGAAATTAATATTCATTCCATTTGTACATACACACTATGCTTACATATGTATATTTAATATATAAGCAACGAAGTTTAAATACAAATATTTTTAGGTAAATAAATATTTAGAAACACTTAATAGAAGAAATGTGCTCAACAATTTGCGCTGTGTTAATTTTTTTGACGATAAAAAAATACTAACACAAAAACAATAAGTAAAGTAAAACGTTGTAGTCAGTGCGGTCGAATCAATGTCTCGAAATTCACCAATTAGATTGCATACATTCATGTGTTAATTTCGCAATTTAATTTTGTTGTGCAAAATGATCTCTAATATGCTGTAAAATTTTTTTTTTTTTTAGTTTAAAGTAGGCCCCCAGAAAACGTTCCGCCTATTGTTTAGTTATGCACGAGAACATAACGTAATGTCAAGAACTTCCCCGCAAAAAAACTAAACGGGAACTAAACTATTAAGAGCAGTTTGAATGGGAACAAAATGAGAACAAAAGTTTCGGGAACTTTTTAGTAAAGAACAAAATGCGAACAAAAGTCTCGAAACGCTCTCACAAGGAAACAAGTAAAAAGGGGCTGTCTTCGGCTATGCCGAAGCCTTCATACCTTTCATGAAAATAAAAAAGCTGTCTTTCATCTACTACTTCTTACTAAATTTTCAGCGTAAAAATATTCAATATGAAAATACTATTTATTTTTTTATAAATATCTAACAAATATTTACATCGTACATACAAATTTCCTTATGTGTTCAGTTAATTTTTATACCCGAGCGCACTTGTGCACAAGGGCATATTAACTTTGTTCACATAACGCTTGTTTGTAACAGCCAAAACGAATCGAGATAGATATAGACAAATGTATACATAAATGCTCAGAATGCATAGAGAGGTCGATTAAGCCATGTCTGTCTGTCCGTCCGTCGGTGTACACGATAACTCGAGCAAAAATTAAGATATCTCAACGAAATTTGGTATGTAGGTTTCCATTTATCCAAGGTAGGTTGGTATTGAAAATGGGCTAAATCGGACTGTAACCACGACCACTTCCCATATAACGGTAATTTTCAGAAATTCGAAAACTGCGATATTTTAGTAACTACTGGAGATTATTCATTAAAAATTGATATTTGCAATAATTTTTAGACGAAAAATAAGAATATTATAAATTTTTGGAAAATGGGCGTAGCCACGCCCCACTTATGGTTACATGTGTACATCTTGGTAACCGCTGCACCAATTTCTTCCAAACTTGGCACAGTTGTTGGCGTTAGCACAGCATACCAAATGGCCGACCATTTTTAAAATCGGACAATAACCACGCCCACATCCCATATAACGGTAATTTCAAGAAATACAAAATCTTCGATAAATCAGTAAATATTGAAGCTAATTTATTCAAAATTGATGGTTGCAACAATTCTTTACCAAGAAATACGTTTATGATAAAATTTTGGAAAATGAGCGTGGCACCGCCCACTTATGATTACATATATGTATCTCGGTAACCGTTATACCAATTTGTACCAAACTCGGTATGGTTATTGTGCTTGCCACATAAAAGCAAAATGTTGAAAATAATTGAAATCGGACTAAACTTACAGCCGCTTTTCATATAGCGGTAATTTTCAGAAATGCTTTAAACTGCAATATTTCGAAATTGAAGGACGCTAATTTACTCAAAATTGATACACCCCGGCTTACCATCTAGCGGTAGCTTTCGGAAAGGTGAAAAACATATATTTAATACTTGCGCCGGGTATTTAATGTTCGGCTCCACCCGAACTTAGACTTTCTTACTTGTTATTTTATTCTTTATTTAATTTTTATCTACTACTTTTAAATTTCAAATACATTAAATAAAACAAAAAGACTTATGATAAATTAAATTAAGGTGTTCTACAACAAAGTGTTTAAATACAAACGTATGTGGTACATGTGAAAATATAATAACATTAATCGCCAACACTAAAAAATATCCCGTCATGGTCGCTGAATGAGGTTTCATATGTTATCGCCCTTGTTCTGTCTGCAGAAAAAACTTGCCAATAACCAATCAATCGCGGTTTGTTGCTTTGTAGTAGGAAGATGTTCCAGTAAGGAATGCAATCCTAGTTGGCTCAAGCGCGTTCCAAGAACATCATTTGACGTAATGCGACAGACATTAAAGTCTCCAACAACTATTAATTCTCCATTATTTCCATTACTCAGCTCCTTTATATCTTCTTCCAATATTCTTCTAAATGCTGGTAATGAAAAAGATGGATTTCTGTATACTACAGCGATTGCCAAGTCTGGTTTTGATATCGCCAGAAACTGATACACTTTTCCGGCTACATGATGACTTTTAATGAAACTTGTGGTAAAGCAACTTTCATTACCAGTTTTACAGTAAATTATTACTCCATTCCGTGAGCGGCTTTGTCCAGTCTCAGTTGCTCCATCGATACGCGCCACAATACTATAGCCTTCGATTTGTAATTCTTCTTCTGGACGGGTCCAAGTCTCGGCAAAACAAATGATATCCGCTGAACATATAAGGTGGTCACTTCTAATGTCATCGATATGCTTTCTTAAGCTTCTTATGTTTTGATAGTACAATAGAAGAGTGTTATCTGGGCGCTCAGTTACAAATTTGTAGTGCGTCTCTAATTTTTTTAATGTCCGAAGTATATTCAGCTGTGCTTGGACAACTTCGTTGCCTCCAAAAGGTCTAGGTGGAATAAAATTACCTACAATAAATAGTCCTGAAGCACTTGTTGCTCTACTGCATCCGACGTACAAAGCTGATCGGCTCATTCCCTTCTTAGTATGAATAGCAACCAATCTGTAAGTTGCTCCTTGGCTTTTGTGTATTGTTATTGCCTCTGCTGGTATTATAGGGAACTGCCTTCTTTCTATCGAGACTTGTTCGTTTCTTCTATATTGGAAGGTGCGCACTACTTTTTCAATTGGTGTCCAGCTCGATTCGTGGGGGTGAGGCTTTTTGGAACGTGCTATTACTCCAATTCCTGGCTCGGAAAAGTGCATCCAAAGAATTACTGGTGTCCGTTCGGGGCCTCGATGGTCAATTTGCATTAGTCGGCCCGTAGCTCCATTTACCAAACCATCTGCAGTATTAATGTTGACCGTAATCATGTATTTTGCAGAGGTTTTCAGTTGTAAACCGTAGCACATTCCTTGTGTCTCCGATATTTTAAAATTCTTAATGGCATCCAATATAACCGTTTTACTTCGCTCCGAAAGAGAGTTCGCCTTCACACTGTCTTTCGCTGTAGAGATGAACTCTTCTGTGGCGATTTTAGCCAATCTTGCAGTATTATATAGAGATACATCCGCGTTGGAATAAAAAAGATGAATACAGTCGTTGGGTATCTCGTTAAAATTGGTTTCTCTTGCTTTAATAAGCTCGATATCATCAGATGTCATATTTCCTTCGGACATGTTGTTGAGAGCAACGGCAAATGCCTGATCTTCTCTTTGGCGCATTATTTCGGTGAGTTCGAAGAAACGGAACAAATCCCAAAGTGGTGTGCCAGTAATTGCGCTATATGGATCCAATTGGTTTGGGGAGAAAATCCATCTGTCTCCTACTGGCGAGAGTTGCTTTAAGTCGCCAAAAACAATTAATGGTATACCTCCAAAATACTCGCTAGAGCGAAATATTTGCTTTAAACGGGCATCTAAATATCCAAATATTTTGGCACCGACCATTGAAATTTCGTCCACTATTATTAACTGAAGGTCTATTAGGCTTGAATAGATAGAATTAACACTATCATTGCTGAGAGGTCGTAATTCAGTTGAGGATTGGTTTATCGGTAAGGAAAAAATCGAGTGCAAAGTAACGCCTCCAATCCCAAATGCAGCTGTTCCTGTAGGAGCACACAATAAGACTTTAATTGTCTCGGGATTACTGCCGGATAAGCTGTTTGCTCGTGTTGTCAGTGACTGGTATAAAGCGGAAATTAATCGGCTTTTCCTACTCCAGCTCCGCCTCCGACGTATTCGTAAAAGTGTCTCTTCAGTTTCATGTTATGGTGAACATGATAAAAATATTCCCGCTGTTTTCTGTTCAAGGAGCGCACAATTGAGAGCAGCTCATTTTTTTGAATAAGTATAGGTAGTCTTATGAGCCTGACCTCCTCCAAGTTTGGGTCCTGTGGCTCATCGCTTTGAAATACGTGGACATCATTGCCGATTTCTGGAATAGCTAGTGCTCTAAACTCTTCATCCAAGAAAGGGGTAACATCAACCTGAACATCTTCCTCTGCTGTTTGCTGATTTAAGTTCTCTAAAATATTTTCGAGCTCACGGTCTGAGAACTTGTCGTATTTCTGCTTGTTCTCTTCAATAATTGATTTGTTGTCATTACAAACTCGTTCTATGTCAGCATCGATTAAATCAGCTGCTTCGCTACGCCAGGGATAAAATAGCATAGCCATTTCCCGAAAGTAGTCTGATCGAGAAAATTCAACACTAAAACGTCTCCACCTTAATATAAGAGGGCGCTTTCTCTTCCAGATGAAACCGCTCCTATCATTTAATTGAAGCCGGAGCTCGTTTGCTTCAGAATTTTCATCAACTGGTTCGACTTCTTCATTGTCCTCGTTTTCAAGTGTAGACACTGTTCTTGTTTTTGAAAATCGGTACAATGCAGCAAAATCAGCAAGACAGAGTTGCCCTAGCCGACTTGGCCTTTGAATATAATGATCCAGCAAGTTCGGTACATAAATATCAGTTGAATCAGCAGGAAGCCTTTCTAGATCACTTTTCGGCTTCACCATTCTGACTCTTTTGTCTGGGTGTGACGTATTAATAAAAATTTCTCCTTCGCTGGCTTCTGAAAGATGGAGACCCAAAATATTATAAGATGCTTCTTGGGCGGACACCTCCGATCCGTTAACAAATTTATTGCCTATGTGTTGTAATTTTTGCTTAATTGTGAAATTTCCGTCATTTATTTCATCCATGGCTTGTCTTAACAGCTGAGATACCCCTCTATTAGATTTGTTGATATAATTTATTATGTAGCTGCAGCATGCATAGGCGTCAAGTATGAACTGAATGTCCATATTTGCTCTATGCAAACGCAAAATGTCGCTGTTATATGCGTTAAGCAGTCTATCTGAAAATTTCCTTCGTAGAAATATTTGAGGCTTCTTTAAACTGGAACGCAGCGCTAATTTGTAATTCTCATAAGTTGTGGAAATGTCTGGATGCA